TGGTTCCGAGTTGACTTGGGGCCGAGTTGACTTGGGGCCGAGTTACCGTAAGTTGGGGGCCGAGTCAGGGTTCATACACTTTGAACTTGGGAAAATTCCAAAACTTTTCCAAGAGTTTTCCAGAGCCAAAATGTTGAATTTCCAAAACCATTTCACACAAAAATAATGACACGGAACATTTTTTACAAGGCAACTTTTTCTTTTATTCTTTAAATGAGTGTTCTATTTAGTGAAACAAAAAAAAACAAATTATATAAAAATCTTTAATAACTGGTATTTTGAAATAATATTGCTTATATTCTGCATTGCGGATGCATAATTGCAGAACAGACTTGTCTAGTCTAAACAAATCCAACTATATAATAAAGAAAGTTTAACTGTAGAATAGTTATTAGAGTAACTATGAATTAATAACAATATATGCACATTTTCGCTCTCCGCAAGTGAAATGCTTTGCAATAGTGCTATGTGGAAACATCCTCTGAAACACTTGACTGACATTTTCACAACTCTTATACGAGTATTTGTCTACTACTGTCTTCATGGACCATAGGATTTCTGCTTTCCAATGATCATCTTTATTACACACTGCATTCGTCAAGGTGCCCTGCCAAATAAATAAATATTATATTAAGGGTTTAACCCATAATTATGCTTCAGAAATGGTAGATAAAAATGAAAGTCAACAAAATACATGGCCATACATACATAATTTACAAGGTCATATACAAAGCAATACGATCGTGTCAATTCCGAAAAAAATGAAAAAAATGCGCCAGGGCTTCGCCGTGTGTCATGGCTTTTCAGAAAATGCCATGACGGAAACTTATTTATTTTTTATATAATAATATTATTTAATAATATAATGTGATGTACAATGATACAAAAAATATAAATAAAGAAGCATTACCTAGGCCTACCAGTTAAGAATCCACATCCAAAAACACTTAAATAAAAGGCGGCCTTTGTTTTGTTGGATTGGTAAACCTAGGGCTAGGTCTAGCTCTAATACTAGTAGGCTTAAGCTAAGCTTAGAGTAATCTTAGGAGAAGCACTGCAGTCAGTCGGCGCGACGTCGGTGCCGGCAAGGCCAGCATGTTTGAGCCTAGCCTAGGCTACCTCTCTAGGCCTGACTTAGGCCCCTAGCTAGCCTGTCTAATATTTTGTTATTCCAATTCAAATTAATTACCTGTTGCTTTTCCGTGTTTGTATTGCCAACTGCTGCATCTGGTTTAGTACAGCGTTTGTTACTTGTGGTACTACTAGCGCTAAAAAAGTCTGATATGTTCGCGTTTCCCCCCGACGACGAGCTTCCAGTAGACACTAAATTATGATGCTTCTTCCCTTTCATATGGCTAACAACAGCGGCTTCTCCCATGTTGCCAAATATCGAAGGTTTTCGAACATAACATACATCGTGCTGTATGACGATCGTTTGTTCCCGAATTTGCAAGCCAACCTTTGTAATGTTCTTTCCGAAGCCATAAATCGTTAAAAACACACTTTCCAGGCATATTCGATACTTTTCAACCATCAGCCGCCGATTTTCATCATCCAACCGCGTGTTACACAACGCGCTTCGTTCGTCGTCACACCAAGCACCAAGCACCTGCATTTTAGTTTTTGTTTGCTAATTTTTTTCCAACTACAATTGCATATGCGCAGCAAAGCCAAGGTTCAGTCAACCAGCACAGTTTATTAACAAAAATCAGTACAGACTACAGTGTGCCGCGGCGCACAAAGGAAATTGACAGTCGGTCGGAAATCGTCCTAAATTCTGAGAAA